CAGTCACAGTGTCCCATATCGTATGTCCACACCTACCATGGGACTTGGGCGTATCACAGGTAACCCATGTTAAGGTTTGTTGAGCTGCATGATGGTATAATTTAATATCTGTGCATAAAAGGTGGATTCTTAGAGGAGAAGTGCTGTGTTTTATGAGCCGTTGTACTCCTCCACACGGAGGCAGGCGCAGCTCAGAGACACTGAGCGGTCGGCAGAGAGGAAGCAAAGGCAGGAGAGAGAGAAAGAGACCCTGGGAAGTACTGCCCATTCTTCAGAGTGGGCTGGCCAGAGTGGGAAAGGCTCGAGAAACCCTGGAGCTGATTGATGCCCACTGCTCCCTCGAGCCGGGTAGCTCTGATGTGAGCTGGTGAGCGCTGGCTGACCTTGACCTCAGAATGCCTATTGCCTGCCCCCACACCTTGCTCAAATGCATTAAAGGAGCACACATGGGATCCCACAAGCCTGAAGAGATGGTAAAGGCTACATCCCACACGTGCTGTCGTCCAGCTTACAAAGGATTAACGGTGACTCCACATGACATGGCCGCACACTGGCCAATGAAAGGTGAAAAACAATCCTAAATGAAGTTGCCTATCACAGCACCCACTAAAGACCAAACATTTAGAGATCTAAGAACAACCTGGGTTCATTCAATTGCGCATGAAGCATTTTTTTTTTTAAATCCTGGGCAAAACGTACTATTTTACAACTTAACAAATTGCACCACGTCCCTGATTTCATTTCATCACCAGAACAACCTCTTGAGCTACACATAAGAGGCATAACTAACAGCTCACTCCTTTTTACCGCTGGGGGAGCTGAAGTCCAAGACGCACTTGGACTTCACGAATCCCTACCAGGACTGGGGGTCTAGTTCATATCTCCTGCCCAAGAGAACCAAAGGGAGTGGTCGTCACTATGTCACTTGTCTTTATATCCTGCCAACAGGCAAAAAGATCTTGAAGTAGCCTGTGATAACAGGCATATACATGATGAGCACTTTAAAATTAAAAAGGGAAAAGAAAATCCATTTGGTGGGTGATATGGGGCTTGGGGTGGAAATTAGGCTAGAACACCAAAGACTGACTTTGAGGCAAAAATAGAAAAAGAAAACGGTGTTTTATAAAATATCATAATCCTAAAAAGAAGAAGAAGCAGCAGCAGCAGTGGCAGCGCCATCAATCCTTGAAAGCAGATGAATGAGGCTTCATGTTAGGGATCCTGAGTCAAAGAAAAAGAGAGGACAGCTTTGAAATGCAGAGTCCAAGCTCTGCCATCTCTAACCCCAGGCATTCTATTCCATGGGAGACCCCTTTTCATTGAAACCATATAAAGATCCAGCCAGCTATGAATGAAATGGTCATCTCGACACAGAAAAAGCATTAACTGGTTAAGTTTCGGTGGGAATATCAAAACATCCTAAGAAACCCACAAAGAAAATCCAGCTGAGTTTTTGAAGGCCTCTCCTAAAATAAAATTGTGAACAAAACAAATCACGTACAGCATGTAACAAAGCACTTTTTTTTTTTTAATTAGGAAAGGATGCGAACCAAAAAAAGGACAAAACTCCTACTGAGTTAAGTGAAAATCCTAATTCGGTGGTATTGCTACCAGACGGTTTATCCTATTTTTAATCCCTGCAATCACTCAAAAAAGAATGGCAGAGAAAACTACCTATCCTATCTACAGACAGACATGGGGCTTTCAGGAAACCAAGCCCGCCAAATTCCCATGTTATGAAACAGAGAAACTAGAGAGAGATTTATAGTTTAAAGGATTATTACTATATTCCTTAGAAGCGGAGTTTCCTTTTAGGCCGTTGAACATAGGACATAATTTTCTGCAAGCAACAATTTTCAACTGTGCTTTAAGCCATCATATAAAGTCACACCCTACTCGAGGCACTCTCCAAATTCCACTTATTTCAGACTCCCCAAATTAAAAAACTCTGAGAGAGACTGGGACGTACAGAAGCCCACAGTTGGACGCCTTCATATGACACTCAAAAGTTCAACTAAATGCTCCAGACCAGAGTTCTGCACCCAATGACTTCATTAAGGAAAACATCAAACCAATTTGATACAATGCAGATGTTGCAAGGACAGCATAATTATAAAGAACAGGCAAGACAATCTCGAAATGTTGCCTCAGTTTCCATCATATTCTACTGTCCTTACATTTGAGACAAAGTGTACACCCATGCACCTAAACTTCTGGAAGAAAAAGAAAAGAACTTCTACTTCTGGATCTGTATTTTCACAGATCTCCATTATGTCTACACTCCTGCTACGAGGGCTTTCCTCTGCTCTATTAGGTTAAAAGCTTGAAAGGTTTAGGACTAAGAAGATTCTTCCCCCATGTTAAGACTCTCAAAGGTGAAGAAAGTGAAACCCAGAACGGGTAGCTTTGCAGGAACCAACAGTACCTTGAATTCTGGAGACAGAATGAGACCAAATGAATGCTAATGAAGAACACTGTACTCGCTGGTGCAGGAAATACTAGGAAGTAACGACAAATATTATTCTAAAAACCATTCTGAGACTTGAAGAATCATAGAATGGTGAAGAAATAAATCACATGAACTATCTGGAACCATGGTATAGGGAAAAAAAACAAACAAACAACACTCTCCCATTTAAATATGCCTCTTCTCAGCTCTGGATACAAACTGTGCCCATCTTTATCACTCCACTACAGCTAACCACCCTGTCCTCAAAGACCATAGCTCTATAGGGCAGGACATAAGATTTCAGGGAAGACTTCCAAGAGCAGGCGTCACCAAAACCAACAGGTAAGAATGGGTAAGATGACCTAGAAGGACCGAAGCTATAGGTGGGGGAGAGGGAAGAGCTGAACATGGGGGAGGATCTCCATGCTAAGTCTGGACTATATAAAAGCAACAACTCCATTATTTCATTTTTGTCTGGCACTCCTGTTAATCATACACCATCTTGTTCACAACAATTGTGAACAAAACAAACCACGATATTTGGATACAACGATTGTGAACAAAACAAACCACCATATTTGGATATTAGAACTACTGCTGCCTATGCCTCAGTCTTCTGTCTTGGACCAGAACAAAACATCCTAAAAGGAAGAGGCCGCCTTGTTCAACTTTGCGATCCCCAAGGAAGAGAATCATCCCTGAGACATTGTAGGTGCTTCCCCTTTATTTAAGTGGCTGAAAGATACAGAGCCTGCAAGGCAGTATCAAGTCTTGACATCAGGCTGAAATCTGAGTTTCTCCATCCTCAACCTCACTCTCCCTATCCCTTTGTCAACTTGACCTCTAACTGTAACTGCCTTGGCCTCATTCCGTGGGTGTGGATTCTCCTCCTTCAAATGCATTTTCCAGCCCGCCAAATTCTTGCCAGAGTTTCCTCCAGTCTCCAGGCACTGAACGCTGCAAAGTTAAATCTGGCTTTAAAGATTTTTTTTTCTTCCCAATCCTAACGGAAGAAATCAAGAAGCGCAGGGCAGAGGGGCTGGGCTCCATCCAATCAGAGCCGGCTCTCACAGTGCAGCAGGAAATGGGGCGGCCTGACGCGTGGTCCCCCTGGCCGGTGACAGCCCTGCCATTCCCCTGGCCAGGGGCGGGGCCACCGAGAGGGGTGGGTTCCCGGAGAAGGGCAGCCCTGAGATGCGGCTCTCCTTTCCCCTCATTTGGCAAAAAACCAAACCAAAACAAAAAAACAATAAAAGGGAGAGTCAGCTGTCCTAACCAGGCCAACTGCGCCCCCATGCACAACCCGCTACACCCTGCCAGGCTCCACTACATGCACAAGGACCCCCTCACCATACAGACCACCGCCCGCAAGCCCGCACAGGCGCAGGGTGGGGGGCGGCGGGCAGTGGTGGTGGATCACACCCCTACAAGCCCGGAGAAGAGGAACAGGGCCAGACTTTCCCAACTCGCAGGGTGGCCAGGACACCAGGAGCGCTGTCCCACGCACGGCCACGGTTGGCAACACATTCATTTAACCAATCATGGGGTTGGGGAGCAAGAGAAAGAGCCTCTCAGTCTCAGGGTGGCCAGGACCCCCACAATCAGAGCCCATGCAGTCATCCTCAATGAGACACCCAGGCACACCCTGGGGATAAGGAAGACGGAAACAGTCTCTCCCACTCGCAGGCGGTCTGGGATTCCCCACGCGCAAGGGCCCACGCAGAGCTACCTTCACAGACACACTGACCCAGCCACACCATCGGGGAGCGGGGACCGAAACAGTGCCCCCCACTCTGAGTGATCAGAAGCACCGCGCGCACATTCACGCGCGGGTCCACAGAGGGTCGCAGCGGGCGCGCAGCCCCCTCGGTGCGCCCCACCAAGCGGAGACAATGCCCGGGCGCCCGGATGCGCGACGACCCGGCCAGTCCTGGTCCCCATCCTACTAGCGCTCAGGGCGGCGGCCGCCTCCTCCGGCAGCGACCCCGCGATGGCCCCGCTCGGACATGCCACACCCGCCCCTGGGACCCCCGCCGACCCCGGGTCCCTGCCGCCTGGAACCTCCACCGACCCAGGACCCTCGTCCAGCCCCGGGAGCCCTGCCGCCTGGGACTCCGTCCGGCCGCTGGACCTCCACTTAGCCCTGAAACCCCGGCCGGGTCCGCGGACCCCCACCCAAACGGGAACCTCGCCCAACTCGGGACCCCCGCCGGGCCCGGGACTCCTGCCACCTGGGACTTCCTCCAGGCCCAGACCGGCCGCTCTGCCCCGGGACCCCCATCCAGCTCCTGGATCCCATCCGGCCCCGGGACTCCCGTCCAGCTCCTGGACCCCCACCGGCCCTGGCCCCTTCCCCGGCCGCGGAACCCTGCCCGCCGCGGACCCCGTTCAGACCCCGGACCCGACAGGTGCTGGCACCTCTCCCGCCCCGGACCCCGTCCGGCCCCGAGACCCGCGTCCAGTCCCTGGACCCACACCAGCCTTGGCCCTTCGCCCTACCCCGGACCCCTGCCGGTCCCGGACTCGGTCCGGTCCGGCCCCGCCGCCTCACCTCAGGCCACCGCCTCGGCGGCACTCGCTCGGGGCCGAACGAAACAGAGCCGAGTACCTGGAGGAGCCGCGGCCGCCGCAACAATGGAGCCCTGGGGCGGGGCCGCCTCCGCCGCCGCCTCAGCCCGACTCTGCTCGCGCTCGGACTCGGGCTCCGGCTCTGTGCAGAGAAGCAGCCGGCGCCAGGCTGCGGCCGGGCTGGAGCACCGCGCAAGCGCACACGTCCCCCCCGCGCCCCTTCGCCCCGCCCCCGGCGGTGCCTAAAACTCGGGGCCCGCCCCCAGACCAATGGGGAGGGAGCCGTGCGCAGTGGGCGGGGCCGGGGAAACAAAGGAGGGGGCGGGGCCACGCCGGGGCGGGGCTGCGGGGCTGCGGGCTGCGGGACTGCAGGCTGTGCGGCTGTGGGGCTGCGGGGCTGCGGGGCTGAGGGACTGCCTGGCGGCACAGCCCGTGGCCGAATTCACGTCCGCACCGGGGAGGGCCGAGCGTATTGTCCACTCGGAATCGGCTTAGCAGGCAGTGCTCACTCACCCCAAACCCCAAACTCAGGTGTGTAGGGTTGGCCTGGATTACAGAAAGGGAAACTGAGGCCCAAGGAGCGAGATCACCTGCCGTCCCAAGTCACATAGCCCCCCCGTTCACTCATTCTTTTGTTCATTCGGCAAACATTTTAGCAGCACAGAGAATATGCGTTAGGAGTGGCATAGAGGCAAAAATCCGCAGAACCAGAGATTTCTGGGGGTCACTTTAATGCATGATAAAAGAGCCAGGCGCCAAGCTCTTGTCCTTTCCTACCTCAAAGTCTCTGTGGTTTTGCTATTTTGCACCTGAAAGGCCCTCCTTTCCCCTCCTGTCACCCGCATGTGTTCAAGTGTGGATCATCTCGAAAACCTCTGTCCTCATTGTATTTTATCTTTCAGCATTGTCGGAGACAATGCTGGTTTCTGGGTTTCTGTCTACGTGACCCATCCCTTGCTCTGCCCAACCCCTGCATTTTGGAGCATTAGGGTAACCCATGGCTGGGGCCATGCCGTCCTATCTGCCATGAACTCTCTTAACCAGGAAATCCCATGCTCTTCCAGGCTACATACTGTGGAGATCGCTAGGTCTCTATCTCCAGCCCTGCTTGCTCTCTCCTAGATCCCCTGCTGGATGCCCACCAGGCACCCCTAGCTTCTCATGGCCAATACAAGTGCTTTATTCAACACTTCCAACCGGCTTCTCTGCATTCTTCCTGTTCTCAGTAAGGGGCCTCCATCCACACAGTTGCTCAGGCTAAAATCTGAACTCCATCCTCGGGTGCTTTATGTCCCTTGCTCCCCCATGCAATCCCTCTCTGCATTCCCACCTCCCTCACAGCACTGGCTGGAGTTTCCTGTCTGAGTGGTCCCCCGACACCCCACCCCACCCCACTCCCGCCAACCACCCTCAGTGAAGTGTGACCTCTCCAGGACAAGGCAAGACTCTGACTCATTTTTGTGCATAGAACGGAGCCTGGTGCCCTTAAGGTACTCGGGGGGATCAGGTCCCATCTCCCTGCACATGCAGACACACACACACACACACACACACACACACACACACACACACCACTGAAAGCCTGACCTCCGAACTGATTTGCCAAAGTCCTCCATGAATGTAAGAAACTTCCCTCCTCCTCTCCAGCCAGGACCCTGCTGTGGTTGGGGGATGTCTTCAGAGAATAGGAAGATACTATCCCAGGGAGCAAAGTAGTTACTACAAAGGAGGGTCACTCCAGGCCGCAGACCTTTGCACACACTGCCCTCTGCCTGACACACTTTCTCCCTGTACCAGCCAGCTCCCACTGACCCTTCCACCCTCTCCCTAAATGCCACTTTTCCCAGGAAGGCTTTGTAACCACCCCTATACCAGGCACAACTGTGACAGACCCACCGTCAAAAAGCTAGGCCTCCTATCATGCAGGCCCACAGGTGTAAATTCAGGCATCAACCTGAATGATCCTGGGAGTGGATTCTTCCCGAACAAGGGAGGATGAAACCTGGCCAACAGGTTGAACGAAGCCCAAGCAGAGGACCCAGCTAGCACGTAACCCAGAACCAGAATTAAGACATGTGCGCACTGTTTTAAGCTCTTACATTTTGTGTTATTTCTCCTGAAACAATAAAGAACTAATACCGGGTCCCCTCCCCCAGACACACATTCACAGCTCCCTGTTCGTCCCTCTGGCATTCATCACAACCACTCTTTTGCCACCCACGCTGAAAGCCCTGGGAGAATAGGAATGGGACATGTCTTCCTCACCCTGTGCTCCAAATGCCCAGCACAGTTCTGGTCCAGGGCTGTTGGCTGGAGATAGACCAATCAGTCAACTTGTTGGCTGGCCCTACTGTCCTTTCTAGGCCTTTCTCCCTGGCTATATTCCATTCTATAGACCTGAATAGTATCTTGTCTTCCTGGCCTCCCTCACAGCCTGAGGTGGCCATGTGACATCGTCCTGGCCAGGGAAACGCAGTGGAAGTTGGCTGAGAGGTTTCTAACAGTGGTGCCCCCTGTGCCAATTTGGACCGGACCCTGAGAGTTGATTGTTCCTTGTGTAAGAGTTTTGCAAAGTCAGTTCTTAAACACAGTCATTACTCAAAAATCAAATGATATAAACTTACAATTAGAAGTTATATTAAAAACAAAAATAAATATTCAAAATTAATTGCTAGTTATTTTGCAGAGGCTTACGATCATCTATGCTACAGAGAATTTTACATCCTCTGTAACTGTACCAGAGAAGTGCCATACGATGTGTTCCTCGCATCTCTTCCCATAGCCTCAGCCAAGCAGTGTCCTGTTGGTAGTTTGAAATTCGATGCGGTAAGAGAATTTATAGCACAGGAGTTGATAATGATTCTAGATCAGGATGTTCTTCCTTGCTTTTATCCCCCAGAGAGCCAGTAATGGAAGATTTACCAGCATACCCTTAATTTCCAGGGGAGGTTTTCCTCTTCGGGAAAAGGTATCAGCATAGCTGATGCTACCTTTTCTCTGCAGCAGAGATCATTACCTTTGGATGCACATGTGATATCTGGATCCACAGCAGCCACTTTACAACCAGAAGCAAAGTCAGAGTCAGAAATTCTGACCCTTGCCCCCTTGAGCCACCGAATCAAGACAAGGGATTTCCTACCTCCAGATTCTCTGTGAGGTAGGAAAAAACAAAACCCCTTGTTTGTGTAAGCCAGTGTTAGTCCATTTTTCTGTTACTTACAGAATTCTTCACGGCCACATAGAGGTATTCAATGAATGTCTGTCACACAGAGAAACACAGCCTGACTCTCTTTCTTCTCCGGTGGCCATCCTGTTTGGGCCCCATGTTCACTGACAAAGCCAACAGCCAGTGAACCCGTCCAGGCAGACTTCAAAGCTCTGACTAGTAGAATTGTTTTTTCCCATATGAAAATGGGTGTTGGGACCTCTTGGTACCTCAGAAAATGAGCCCAGTACCTGTTTGCCACCCGCCCCCCAGTCCTTCTGATGGAAAGAGAACGTTTATCCAATAGGAAATTTATCCTATAGGAACATTTATCCAATAGGAAAATAAATAGAAAATTTATTTAGAAATCCAATAGGAAAATAAATCAACATCCATTGACCCCAAAGGTGGAAAAACACTCTTTGTGGAAACTCCTAATGGGGTCTGATACAGTGAAGGGCTCCTTGATGAGGTCTGTGACCTGAGACCTCTTCCTAGACTCTTCCAATGACATGTCTCTGGAGGATAAACACAATTCCCACCTGTTATATCCTAAGTAAGCTGCATTTCCATGACACTTTGGACTCAGTCTTCCTAGATTCTGGGGCCAAGAGGGAGCAAAGACCACCCACGGCAGCTGGGCCCAGCTTAGGAAGGGAGGTCAGCTCAGCAATGCAGTGAAAGCCAACAGGCTGCTTCACTAGCCATCTGTGGTCACAGAACAGGTTACCGCCAAGCCCAGCAGCTTGAAACGATGGACGGTTTGTGTCGGACGACCATCTGGCATGGTTTGACTGGGTGCCTCTGCCTCCAGGTCACCCACAGGACTGCCATCTAGCTGTTGGCTGGGGCGGCGGTCTCATGGGAAGGCTTGGCCGGGGACGCTCACTCATACTGCTGTTCGCCGGCCCCCCCTCAGCGGCTCACTGTGTCAACCCCACACAGGGTCACTTACGTGGCTGCTGACTTTGCTCAGAGGAAGGACGGTGGAAGCCACAAGTGTTTTGTACCCAATACCACAACTGCTGAAAACAATGGTTTAAAAAAACATCTTAAAAGTAGCCATAGAGGGGCGCCCGGGTGGCTCAGTTAGATTGCGTCTGCCTTCGGCTCAGGTCATGACCCTGTGGTCCTTGATCGAGCCCTGTGTCAGGCTTTCTGCTCAGCGGGGAGTCTGCTTCTCTCTCTCTCTCTCCCGTTCTTTCTCTCTCTCTCTCTCACTCGCTCACTCTCTCAAATAAATAAAATCTTTAAAAAAATTTAAACAATGATTTAAAAAGAAAGCAGCCATATAAAACAAATGTCATAGTCTGACACATAACAGTGAGAATTAGAGATGACTTCTTACCAGAAATAAGTGAAATCAAAAGAGAATGAAACAGTCTTATAATATTGAAAGAAAAAGGAAAAAAAAAAACCTGTTAATTCGTCTCCTCCAAACCTACCAGCCAGGCTCCCACCCACCCTGCACCCACCATCGGCCTCCTCTGCCCCACGCAGCTTGGTCCCATTGGACCGCATCTCACCTCACCCCCTGCTCTGTTATGGACACTGCCTCAGCTCGACCACACCTTCCCGACTCCCCTCCCTGTCCTGCTGCCCTCCGAGATTGCCTCTGTCCTCTGTTCATCCTCTGCCAGATGCGGGAATGCCAAGTGCTCAAGAAGCCAGTGTTCCCCTAGGGCTACTCTGCTGGTCCAGCACCTTCCCCTGCACTGTCCCTAGGGGCAGCTCATATTCTGGTGAAACCAGAAACATCCTAGCCGGGGCACCATCCACTGGGAAGCCCATGGTCACCTCATCAGTGACAAGCAGCAGCTCGAACCCACCTTCCACACCCCAGACCTGCTGTTCCTCTTGGGTTTCATCACTCATGAGTAGCACCCTTGCCAAGGAGCAGGGTCCTGCCCTCTTCCCCATCCTCCACCCCCA